ATTTTAAAGTGTGTGTGTGTGTGTGTGTGTGTGTGTGTGTGTGTGTATCTGTCTCTCTGAGGAGGAAATACTCTCTTACATCCTATTTTTCCTAGTCTTATAGTTTTCTTATACTTGAAGTCTATGACACAATTCTTAGAGGGAATGGCCATCGTTAGTAGAGTAATGCTTATTCTGTCTTAAAGACCTGTAGGGAGAGATATTCTAAAATGTTCCCATTTCTAAGAGTGCTTATTGGAAAGAACATTTGTATTATATCTCCTCCAAATCCCCTCCAGCTGCAATTTTAATTCATTTCCTTTTATTCTGCCCTCAGTTGAGATTAAAGCAAAATAAAACACTCTTCAGTGCATCCTGAAGATGTACTGTTTAATAATCCCTCATATACTTGAGAAAAGTGATTAAACTCTTTTCTGCTTCTTCTCTGAGATAAATCCTTTCCGATTTCACCCCCTGGGATCTATTAAAAGAAAACCTCAATCACTTTGTTGCTCTCCATAAGCCTCTCTAATTGTCAAAATCACTGTGACTGATGCTCCAATAGCTGCTACAAGGAAATAACTCAAAAACATATACAGATTCCCAGTTCATCAAGTGGTTCTCTGGTATACCAGGTGCCCAGACTCCCTTTACAAAACTATTCACCTATCCCCTACTCTGGGGCATCTCTGTGCGTGGCTGTCTCCCCACAAGGAGCTGTTTCCTCAGAGATGCCTAGAAGACTGCTGACGGCTGATTGCTCCCTGCTCCCTGCTCCCCATCAGTTTGTAACCTCTTTTTCTCCGGCCGGACACGTTCTATAATGTAATTCACCTTCCAGGGCTCCCCACTCCCTAAGGAATCAGGCTGAGGCTAGACTTCCCCTGAAATCCCATCTCTGTCCAGCTTCTTTCTCTGCTTCCCTCTCTCAGCACTTAGAAGTTTCTCAATAAATCATGAACATAAGAATCTTCAATTCAGGCTCTGATTCTAGGAAGTTGATATAAGACACTGGCATTAAGAAAAGTTCACAATGCCAAAACATCAGTCAAGTCAGTAACAAACATCAAGAACTTTTTTTCCTAAATATGTTTTTGTTGATTTCAGAGAGAGGAAGGGAGAGGGGGAGAGAGAGAAACATCAATGATGAGAGAGAATCACTGATAGGC